TGTCCGTCCGTTTGTCTTTCCATGAGTCTGCCCACCCGTCCGTCCATCTGTGTCCGGCGTCTGTCTGTGCATCTGCCAATCCGTCCGTGTTTCTGTCCATCCGTCCGTACGTGCCTCTTTCTGACCATCCGTTCGTTCGAACGCACGCACGGATGTACACATGAATGGATGGACGGACGGATGCTTCACCCCACTCATCATCATTTGCTCCGTGGACATGGTGTGATTTTTTTGTGTGCGGTGTCTGTCCAAAAAGATATGTAACCTAACCTTACGGTACAGGCTCGTACGACAACGCGTATAGCTGAATTTATCTGTGACGCACCCTGTTAAATAAGTGCATTTATAGTAGAGAACAGAGGGGCTGGTTATCTCATATGCATGTTCTAGTATGGCGATGAGCTTTTTCCTTGATTGCTTTCGCCAACGGAGTTCGGACAAACAACTTCACCGTGGTGGGTGACTATTGTTGAATTCCAATGGCGGAGTCGGTGCAGCCGACCGACTTCGCGAGCGAGCACTCGACTCTGGCGTAGAGCAAATCCTCCAAATCCGCCATCGGAACACAACCCGCCCTGCTGGAGCAAGGCGGAAGCTGCCGCGTTACCCAGGATACCTTGCGTGCGGTCTTTTCCGCTGTCTGTTTCCCACGTGGTTTACCAGCATCGCCGCATCGTTCGTTGGCTTGTTCAGCACTATTCACCTGTGTGGAATGGATATCAGGCCAAGCGTGCAACAGCTATTGTCCACGATGTCTGCTGTCGCTATCGAGTAGCAGAAGCATTGCCGCACGCTTTGCCGAGGTAGCCGAGCCGTCCACGCCGTCCGCCATTATCAACACAACTCGCGTCGCGCCAGCCGCGCCCCTAAGCAGGCAAACGTCTCAAAGGAAATGCGTGACGCTGAGTTCCGGTCCACTCCACCGATTTCGGCGGAGCAGTTTTTCCTGCTCCACGGAGAGACTCCTGCTCTGAATCCCCTCCGGCTCTCTCATTGGAACTTTTGACTCTCGCTCTCACTCTGTCATTGGAACACACTTGCTCTGAAAGGAGCAGAAAAACTTGCTCCGACTCCGCCATTTATTTTATTTTTTTTATTTTCCCTCTGTACAGAGTAGTGAACCAGTTAGTATAGTACGTTCCTTTTTCATCTGTTTCTCTCCGCGAAGTTATGCTTTTTCATGCATTTTCCGGCAAGCTCTCAGGGATAGAAAACTCCTGCGCCGTCAGCACCAATGCGTCTCCTCGCACTTGAAATCACAACGTCGTTTTCACTTTTTTTTTCTTTGTACACGCGCACCAATTGCACGGTCGACGTCCTCGTGACGGAAAACAGTCTGAACCGGCCGTAGAGCGGGAAAGTATGAAAAAAAAAGAATAAAAAAGGCGCGCGCGCGAAAGGCTCTAACGACGTGTCTGACGATTCACCATAAATATTGGGGGTTCCTCCCGAAGGCAGTGTGTTAAACTCCCGCATCGCCTCGCTGCGAATTCGAAACCGCCAACGGGCGGGTGTTGGTCGTAAAAAGAATGGCGAGCTACAGATCACTGCCGGCATGCATGCGAGGCCTGCGCGGAAGCCTGAACGACTGCGCGACGCTGAGCCATCCTCCTCCGCGCAAGCTCGATCGGGTGATCGACTTCTGGACTCCGCTTCAAGGGATATCAAAAATAAGCCTTAATTCATATTATGACGTCTCACATGCCTTGGTGAACCTGAGTGTAAGGGTTGAAAAAAAAAATGCGTGGTTTACGGCTGGTCACTACTTCATATTAAGATGAACGAAATTAAAGAGCTTACAGAAGGACGCATGCAAACATTGATTGAAGATCGCAACTCTGTGGGCGTGGAAAATGTATCGAATATGTTCGTCACGCTCTCCATATATCCATGCCTCTTCAGTGTTCTAAGGCGGTCTTCGCATATGTTGCAGGGTATACAATACACTAATATACAATAAGATGCAACACAATAGACTGTACTATATTACAAAAGAATACGAATTGATTTCCATGCGCACAACAGTTCTCGTGGGTGCCATTGGCTAAAGGCTGTTGCACAAAACTGCTTGACTGAAGCCATTGATCGGTAAAAGGCATACGTGATGGTTAAATAAAATTATACAAACATTGGTAGAAAATGAAATATGAAATCCCAAACGATACGGCAGAAACAATTTTTAAACGTGGTATAAATGATTACATGTCTAGAAATGCGCGAAAACAATGCGTACTGCTGTACCTGCTTCGTTGTCTGTGAAATGTTAAAACGCTATATACTTCAGCTGAACCAACAATCATGCGCGGCAATTACGCGATTTGTACTGCCTAACAGCTCAACCGTGAACACTAGTGATAACAAGATTGTTTACGGTGATTGATTTCAGAATATCTAGCGCAAGTACACCAACGTCAGCAGAGCTGACAGCGCTCCGAACCGCGTAGACATTTGTTATTGACCAACCGACACACAAGTGGACTATATTTTGCGCCTCTCAGGTGGCACTGCAGTCTCTGCTATCAGCCTTGGGCCTCGGCCCGAAAGAATACTTGGTACTGGAGACTCCTGAGATAATACATCATATAAGTGAGAAAGGACATCAAGTCACAGCGGTTACTATCTGCAATGAATGCGTCGACCAAGCTTCCCGCTTAGTCCACTGAACAACGCTACATGGGAGCTCCGCTTGCCAAAGTGCCATGGCACAATGGAATCAGCCGTGCCGCAAGCATAGCCAATGTCACTCATTTTACCCAGCCTTAAGTCTTCAAGCCCCATAGGGGCTTCGCCTATAGTAGGCGCTACAGTTTTGTGTAGGTAACGCTTGGGTGTTGTCTTTGCCAATGCTTATGCGTTCTGCGTTGGGACGGCCGTCACCGCAGTCTAGTGCCACTGCAGCAATAAAGAAACAATGTGACATATTTCTTGCCACTTCGCACAATACAGTGCACAGCGACTAACCGTTTACATCACGTTCAACAAATATTTCCCCACCGACTAAAAGAACGATAAGGAGGAGAAAGGAAAGAAGTGAAAGACAGGGATGTCAACCAGGTGCCATTCTAGTTCGGTACCCTTCACTAGCGGGAAGGGGGGAGAGGATTAAAAGAGAAGACAGAGAGACGAGGTAAGGCAGGACGGTCAGGGTATGTGTGCGCCTGTCCATTACACGCTTGCGACCGGTTGCTTAATCCGGTCGATTAAAGAAAAAAAAACCTAGCAATGCCTGCGTCGCTTGGCTGCCCTGCGACGCGTAGAGCTATGATCTGAGGATCTTTTCTGAAAAAGGTCAGTCATATAGTTTCCATTGCTGGGTGGCAAACCGGATGCTAATATCTGGCTAACTTTCCGGCCTGCCTCTTCCTAGCCCCCCCCCCCCCTCTCTCTAGGGGACCCCAGCGAAAAAAAGGAAAGCTTCTGAAAAAAAATGTCTTCGGTCCTTGCATCTAAGATGACAGAAAGATACTGTTACGCGCCGACATTCGCAAGAGCCGAAGAAAAATGTCGTCCCGACCTCATCACCCGCCGTATGGGATACACGAACTGAGGCACGCGCATTTTCCATCTTGTAGGCGCATCCAGAAACGTGAGAGCCCGAGTCATGTCACGGTGCAACGGCTGCCGAACTCTTCGATCATCTCCCACAGCTCGCGCATCATCGCATTGCGTCGCAGAAGCATTTGACTTTGATTTGTTGTTGTTCTTCATTTGCTTAGGAGTGGTTAAACGCGGACTGCAACGAAATGCATAGCACGCCGTGAGAATCGTCTCTGCCGGCTAAAGCACACATATGGCTGGCTATTCGTCTGTAGATATTGGTTGCACGACATGCTATAAAGTGTAATAGAATAGCGAGAAACATTTTCCTTGCTGGCTTATGGTTGTGCCTTAGTTGATCGAATGCGAATGAGATATCGGAATTTGGCGCGTATTTCGAGTTAGTGAGTGCATTTTCAGATAGTTTAACAAGACACGTTTGTGTTCCAATGTAAATTCGTCCCACGAGGGCATAACAAAGTCATGGTTATTAAAAAAGTGCAGAAGTGTGTGAGCAAACATTTTTCTCAAGTTTCATGGAGCTGACTATCTCAACACTGGAACTAATCTTGAAATGCTTTCCAGGAAGGCGTGACTTCGGGACCCATTGGATTTATGCCAGCAATCGCAAACACATGCTACACAGAGCATGGGTGGATGCTAATTAACTTGTGTTACATCCTCTCCCTGCGGTTGACAAGATTGTTATCCCAGGCTGCCCCGCCGTGGTGGTCTAGTGGCTAAGGCACTCGGCTGCTGACCCGCTGGTCGCGGGTTCAAATCCCGGCTGTGGCGGCTGCATTTCCGATGGAGGCGGAAATGTAGGCCCGTGTGCTCCGATATGGGTGCACGTTAAAGAACCGCAGGTGGTCGAAGTCTCTCATAATTATATGGTGGTTTTGGGACGTTAAACCTCACATATCATTATGTTATCGCTGGCTTTCTCGAACGCTTTGTATTTTTCACCTACTCAACCATTTGCGTGTCTTTGTCACATTTTCCGCGTTTACTTAAAATTAGGTTGTGCGTAGCCCCCGAAATGCCCTTTTTCCTCACCACTCTCCTGTTCGTGTAACGCTCTGTGTATTTGTTGAAATCGAGTAAGATAATGGTGTACTATTTATTTTAAGGCTGTACACGTTCACCGTAATTTGTCATAAGTGAGAACTTGGGTAATCCACCTCTGGAAGTAGGATTGGAGGGCTGCGCGCTAAAATCGATCGTGAAAAGATCATCGAAACTGAAAAAAAAAATACAGGCGCACAGCACTTGCCATAGAATGTCCCGACCACTTTGAGCCTTTGACACGGAGTATGAAATCCGATATGCACTCGCAGCATTACTCCGCTGTTTTTTTGCAGAGTTTTGGTGGCACGCGATCCGTGGAGGGGCTCGTTTGCGAAATTGATGGATGAGCTTCGAGCCCGCATCTTATTGTATTTTGTTCTTCTGTGTCGTTTCAGCGACGGACATGGAGATGTACGTAGGCGAGGGCCGCGAGTGCGTCAACTGTGGCGCCATCTCGACGCCCCTGTGGCGCCGGGACGGCACGGGCCACTACCTCTGCAACGCGTGCGGACTCTACAACAAGATGAACGGCGCCAACAGGCCGGTCGCCAAGACGCCCCGACGAGTGGTGAGCAGGCTGGTGAGCAGGCTGGCTCGCTCCTTCTCTCTATCCTCTGCACGTGTTACGCGACTGTTTTGGTTGTGCTACAACGACAACGACCACGACGACAACACTAACACTAACAACAACAACAACAACAACAACAACAACAACAACAACAACAACAACAACAACAACAACAACAATAGTAACATGGTCCACAGAGTGAAAAGTTCCTTGGTTAAACGAAACTTTTACAAAGAGTCACGCCTTAACTTATGCGTTCCATAAAGACTGCTTTAAAGTGAAAGCCGTCATTATATATTATTTACTTGCCCCTTTAAATAGATTGTATTGGTCGTACGTTACACGCGTTAAAGAACGCCAGATAGTCAAAACTTCAGGCGCCTTTCCCCACAGCATCCCTCATTATCATATCGTGATAGTGGGACGGAAAATCTCGACAGTTGTTATATTACCGTAAATGAAATAAATATTTTGATCAATTTATAGAATTCTTTTTCCGTGTTCTTCAAGTCAAAAGCTGTTGCAAACAGCTCGAAAGTGACTGAAGGAAAAGTAATAGATAGAGGCGGCCTGTTAGCTTGGATATATATTGATGCAAAACGATATCGTTAAAATGAATACAAATGATAAGATGAAGACAGGACATGCACTGCACTCAAAACTAAAGTTTTTCATTAAAAAAAAAAGATGCCCTTAATGTGCAGCCAACATCGTCACACAAAAGATTATCACAGAAGGTGCAAAGCAAACCACATCAAGATTAAAGAGCAGGAGGAACATGGCCTTGAAACATACAGAGCGATAAACACATTATGAATAGGCACAATGATACACACGTGTTGGGTGATAGGAGGGGGTGGAGGTTTAGACATGCCTGGCTGACGCATTCATCCTTTTATTTGGGAATGTGGAAAACTTCAATTCATTATCGTGTTAACTTATGATGATGTCTTGATAGGATGACAGTATCGGTGAAATTGGGACAAAATCCGCACGAAAGACAATGGTTGAGAAAGGGATAGATCACGACGCGGGACAGGTGGAGAGCGAGCGTCAATTTCGTGCATCTAAAGGGTGTTTTTTACAATGAAAACTTTAGTTGCATGTACGGCGCATGTCCTGTCTTCATATCGTCCTTTGTATTCGTTCTAGCGATGTCGTTTTCCACCGATCTGCGTGAAGGCTCTTTACGACAGCGCAGTAATCAGTTTACAGAGAAATAAAGGCAGTATACAGGCGCATATTTTGTGGAGTAATTAAAAAAATATTAGAAATGGTTTGTGCTCAACAGTGGTCACTGCAGAGAGTTAGAAAATAGTAAAAAGCAGCGATCAGTGCAACTCTGTGTTTCAAATGCTTGAAATTCCCTATATACTATCTGGTATAGTATTGAAACGAAAAAGAAAGCTAACTATTCGATATTTTCATAAACATTCACAGTGACAGTTCCAGATGCGTGTGAATGTACGCGATACCGTTCAGATTCAGCGCCGGACACGAAAAAAATTTGAAAGGTCGTTTATGCCTCCACACCCCTTGTTCAAACGAGGTCACAGATGGTAATCTCAGATTTCCATAGCTTCCTGTTACGCTTTATCCCCAGGCGATATGGGGATAGAGAATGTTAAGTTTTTCACTTCACCTTCTCATCAACCCACGTTGGCTGACAGGGCTGCTACTACGCATGGTCGCTCTCGTTACGCAAGAATCCGCCATTACAGACTTTAACAACACTGAGGTTATCAGGTGTGCGGTGTAGTTTGCTATAATAATTACTAGAGGGAACAGTGACACTGTGATTGTTGAACCACCATGGCAGTGACGGGCTGTTCACGAATTTCGCTTGTCTTCCCATTTGCGGCATCAAAACGCACTTGTGCCTTTGTTTATTATGTTCTGGCTTTTGCTTCGAGAAACAAAAATGTTCTATTGTGAACTTCGTCTGATAGTTCGAATTGAAGCAAAATTTAAGCCACTTGAAGTAAATCAAGCATTTGAATTTGTCAACCTAGGAGTCAAAAGGGTGGGAACAGCCGAACTTTGTGTTGTAACAAATCGGCTGCAGGCCACACCGAGTCACATGGAGCATAAAGAAGCAAGTTGGGACAACTCTGTGTACTAACCATACTTCCCATGATGGAATAAGTGCCGTACGTTGCAGCTCCCGTAGAAACTGTCAGTATTCCCTCTAGCGCACTCTAATGAAACACTATGGCGTATACCCCCGTATTCGAAGTGTCTAAGAAGGCAATTCTTCGCTATAGCCAAGAGTGCCTACTGAGCATGCGCGCCCGTCGGCACGTTTGCGGAAGCCACGAAGCTGACAAGCGCTCCACGAAGGCGGCACTGTATACGCTATCCAAACACTTCGCGGGCGCGGCTTGCGTGTGTAAGCGAAACCATTTGCGGCCCGCACAACAGTTTGTCTTTGTCCCGAGCCGCCCCGCCGTGAGTGATGACGTCGGCCGACGCGAGGCTCGCGTTGAGCCGATCCGTTATTATCTTGTCTCCCGCTTGCGGCCATCTGTTATGAACGCGCTATCACGCTGTTCCTCGTCTGCGAGTCGATTTGTCCAAGTTTATTCTTGCCATTAGGGCGAACGGCCTCGTTAAAAGCACTTGCTTCTCGTCTAATCGTCGCACGCTGATAGGCGCGATAGAGATGTGGCATCGGAGGAGCACAAGTGCTTTCCCATGCGATGCCGATTTTTTAGCGGCCCGCGCTTAATTAAAGCTGCGCTAGGCGTTACAAGGACTTGTATGAAACTATTTGAGTACTATGTTACACGACTTCAGTTCCAGTTGTGTTGGTTAGCGTATCACATAAGTGATACGCTAGTTGAGGTAATTTATTAGGGCGCACCAAAATTGCGATGCGGACAACTTGCAGTATAGTGTTTCGGAATGGAGTTATGTTATTAGGCGCGCACTTAAATAAACCTGCGCTTGGCGTTACAATGGCCTATCTGAAACTCTTTCAGCACTACGTTACGCGTAATGGTTAGGGTTTGAATAAGGGATACGCTAACGGAGATAATTCGTTAGGGCACCTCAAAGTTCTTTGTCAGCAACTTTTAACTTAAGGTTTTGGAATCAAACTACGTTATGTAATAGGAAAAGTAACCGTACACACTAAACTTGCATTGCAATGCTTGAAAGAAAATGGTCGCGCTTAAAAAAAAAACAAGAATCGCAAACATTCGTTGGCACAGAAATATTTCAACGAAATGTAGCAACTGCCTTGCAGTGTTTTGTTCATAAGAATACTTACTTCTATAGCAGCGTTATGTTGACTTCATTTAGGTGCACACCAAGGTCCGTATTCACAAACCAACCTCAACCTTTCCTTATCCAGTTTTCCTTATCAGATTTAAGCTTTTTATTGCTCGTGATAAACAAATTGGACCAGTATTCATAAACTAGCCTTGTCCTTATCTTTTGCCCTGTTACCATTTTTTGTGCCTTTGTTACCATTTTTTGTGCCTTTGTAGACTGTAAAGGAAGTTTAGGAAAACGTGAGGTAAGGCCGAGGTTGGTTTGTGAATACGGGCCTAAGAAACCGTACGTGGTATATCACAACAGTGCGAAATTATTCTGGACTTCTTCATTAAGATCTGAAGCGTTTCCTGGTGATGATTTTATTAGAAAAGTTCTTCAGAATTGATAAGAGCTTACAGGACGCTTCAGCTTCACCCTCAAGGGTAGAACGCGATTGCGTAATCAAAGCCAGTGCGCACCGATTTCTCAACTGCTACAGGCGGTCTTCGGTTCTCGGTGCATGCCGCCTCTGTCCCACTTAAAAATCGTCGCTGAATTCATAGACAGATAGATGCTTGGGCTAGTTGGTGATTGAGAATCAACATATTTGCATAGCGCTAGAGTGCGAGTTACGGCGTAACTACGGAAGAAGAGAGAGGGACAGAAAAGAGTCCCTTCAGCGCTCTCTTCTGTCTTTGTCTATTTTTTCGTAGTTACTCCGTAACTACTCGTAGTCTTGCACTGGGCAAACATGTTGAATTCCGAGAATGTCGATGATCTTTGGTGCTCGACGAGAACGCAATATGACCTAATTGATGACGTCATATTGTCACAAGACACCATTGGTGATGTCAAGCGACGTTGTCGCCTAAATCTCGTGATGCATCGTCCATGTCTTCCACACAGTGCCTCAGCGTGTAATGCAAAAAAAAAAAAAAATCACAGCATATCCACGGAGTGCATGGTGATGTGGGGCGAAGCGATCGTTCGTTCTTGCTTCAGTTTGTCCATGCGTTCGTCCGTGCGTCCGTCCATCAGTGCATCCATCTGTTCGTTCATCCACGCTTTCGTCCCTGCGTCCGTCCGTGCGTCTGTCGATCCATGCGTCCATTTGTCCATCAATCCGTGCGTCTGTCCGTGCATGTTTGTCTGTCCGTCCGTTCATGCGTTCGTCCATCTAGTGAACACTTCAAGTACCGCCATGTCGCATCTTCTCATCATATATTCAGCATATAGAAGCAGCGCCATCCAGCGGTCATTCCAAGGACTAAACGAGAGGTGGCGCTCGCGCACTTTCTTATGGTCTGTGCTTCGTGTCTACTTTCCACCTTTCATCGCCTCTAGATCATGGCGATATATAGTCTACTATATTCAAGGCACTGCGGCCCAACCTTCGCTAAACCTTGCTAAAACCAAGAAGATTACGCCCAGCGAGTTTAACGTGGCAACCCTTTCTGCTCAGATTGTGCTCAAAGTGCGTCCTTCTGATACTAGTTTTTTTTTTAGTAAGCATCAAATTCAAGACAAATTTTATTGGAAATTAAGTCGCCAATACTCTTCTCTGTAAGTCATTTCATCAGAAACAACTATCTTCTTATTTATGATTAACGTGCGCGGGTTTCCTTCTCAATTGAAAAGGGTGCGCGCGTGCCGCTCCTCTAGTCCGGCCGTGGAGGTGGCGACCTACTACTGCGACGACACTATACATACATCGCGGACGCATGGCACACTACATTAGGAGCTTCGCCCCCAAAAAGTCACATGCACAAGCCACGCGCTTCGTGCTTGCGGCGTTCTTGTGGCTTGAAACGTTTTGCCTTCGAGTCGTCTTTGGCGAATGCATAAGGTACCCCGTTATTTTTTGTTTAGGACGTCTTGTATGCAGACTGGCTCATGTGTAAATCGTGGATCATATTCTGTGGATCACAGTATATAGGACAAGAAAGACATAGAACGTGTAAGAAGGCAGGGTGATTAGGCAGAGTTCTGGTTGGGTATCTGGGTGGAGCAACTAAGTAGAAAAAAATTCATGAGTTGTTCGTGAATGAAATTAGTTTATTTGTATAGAGGCACAACATTAGCGGTTAATTAACTCTCACGCTTACGAGTAATGAAGTTTGTCTGTTTTGCGATATATTATTAATCTATATGTTTGCACAAATGACACATGAAGGCATACTAATGTGAACTAATGAATGTTTTTAGTTAGGTTGTGTACCATATGAACATTAGCGTCGTTAATTTTTCCACCACAAGACTGAATAACAAGGTCAAAAATAATCTGCAGAAAATTAAAATTAATCTGCAGAAAACGAAAGTAATGTACAACAACCTCGGAAAAGAGCAGCGCTTCGAGATAGGTAATAGTGCACTTCAAGTTGTAAAAGACTGACTACTTAGGGCCGGTAATAACCACGGAGCCGAACCACGAGATTGAAGTAACTAGGGGAATAAGAATGGGGTGGAGCACTTTTGGCAAGCACTCTCAAATTATGACAGGTAGATTGCCGCTATCCCTCAAGAGGAAGGTATACAACAGCTGTATCTTGCCGGTACTTAGCTATGGAGCAGAAACCTGGAGACTTACAAAGAGGGTTCAGCTTAAATTGAGGACGACGCAGCGAGCAATGGAAAGAAAAATGGTAGGTGTAACCTTAAGAGACAAGAAGAGAGCAGAGTGGATTAGGGAACAAGCGGGGGTTAAGGATATCATAGCTGAAATCAAGAAGAAGAAACGGACATGGGCTGGGCATGTAGCGTGTAGACAGGATAACCGCTGGTCGTTAAGGGTAACTAACTGGATTCCCAGAGAAGGCAAGCGAGTTAGGGGGAGACAGAAGGCTAGGTGGGTAGATGAGATGAAGAAGTTTGCGGGTATAAATCGGCAGCAGCAAGCACAAGACCGGGTTAACTGGCGGAACATGGGAGAGGCATTTGTCCTGCAGTTGACTTAGGATGATGATGATGATGATGATGATGATGATGAACAAGGTCAAAGCTTTATTTTTAAATGTAACGCCGAAACCTGCGTGAGTGGCGTCACTGTTTTCAAAGTGTACTTGTCTCATTTTGGGGACATTGGCTCTGCGAAATTACCAGAAACTTGGCATGTTAAGTCGATGGCCCCCTCTGAGCTCAATGAACTTCATTTTTGCCGATTAGGAAATAGGGCGGACCCAGTATGTGCCGTCAGAATCTATGACATCATTGCATTTGGTGCGGAAACATAGAGGGTGTCACCAGGCGCATTTTATTTTTGCGGGTTTTCTCGCTTACTAAGCGCCATCTCATGGCAAGTGTGCTGATTTTCGAATAATAAAAGAGGAAGTTACTTTTAAGAGCCAGGCAGATGATTCGGCAGACAGCCTTATTTATAGCCTGAGTGGCTAAGCAGTGGGCCTACCAGGTAGGCCTAGTCAACCGTCGGATAGTCCTCTTGTCAGAACAGAGAGGCTGTGCTCGTTCACAGGCCCTCTGGGTAGCCTGGAGCGGGACGTCTTGTCTGGGGTTCGTGACGGCCATCGCCAAGTCTTCTGTTTTAAAGTCCTGTAACGTACGGCACTGCCAGAGTGTGTGACGTTAACAGCAGAATTCTGAACCACAATTTGAATAGTGCACCAGAAATAAATAGTGCTGTACATTCTCCCTGAAACATTTTTTTTGCTTTCGTTCAGTCTGCAGCGCGGCGAGCGGGCCTGGTCTGTTCCAACTGCGGCACAAGCATGACGTCACTGTGGAGGAGGAACAACAGTGGCGAACCTGTGTGCAACGCCTGTGGCCTCTACTTCCGACTTCACGGGGTATGTGCACACCATTTACCACAAATGGCGAGGTTGCTTTGAAAACGTATTTAAATTATGTTACAAATCACAGCTGGATGAAAATAAGGACATTACTATTACTTCTTCAGACCATTTTCTGTACAAAAGGTTCTAGGACCTTGGACGTGGACCTCGATGCCATAGAAAGCAACTAAAGCGCTATTGAAGTACCTGAAGTGAACAAACCGCCTCTAGACTAGATGTACTCCCCCACGTGTGCTCGAGATTCTATGTATCTTTCTTCCTTTTTTCCCCCTTCTATCTCTTCCTCCCTTTATCCCTTCTCCAAGTGCAGCCTGGTAGCAGACCGGCCATGCGTCTGCTTGACTTCCCTGCATTTTCTTGGATCTCTCTCTCTCTCCTGGAAAGTCATGTTTTGAAATACAGCAGACATCCAGTATTCCGTCACCGATGATCACTTATCCAGCGTATCGTGATCCGCCGTTTAATAAGTGAGAGGTGCCGCGAGGTGAGGCTTCGAATCAATTTCGCGACTACGCAGACGTAAATATGGTTTATTGCGTGTGCACGTGCGCGCATCAGTACGAGTATAGTTCAGTGCAGTGGCGGCTGGCAACCTAGAGGTTCTTTATTTTATCCTCGCCCTTTCTAAAGCTGACTGCTGACTTGACACGCGATACAAATGAGTGAATCTACTTAACCACGTATAATATCACACTTGCGCCCATCCTATGTGGCGATGTTCGGGGGCGAAGGTTGAGGGAAGGACTTTCTCGCTACAGTGCAGCTGTTCTCGCTGCGTTGCGCGTTAGTCGCATGGCCTTTTGAATCGCGCAGAGCGCGTTCGTGGGGCGTGTAGTTACTAGCGCGAGCCAAATCAAGTAAAGATGACAAAAAAGAAGAAAAAAAAGTTGAGGCCACGCATGAAAAGCGATCTAGCGCATTTCGGTTTCGCCAGACCGGGGGTGCGCGCGCATTTGACGCGAGCAACGAGACGAGGTGACGTTATCTGGCCGGGCGCGCTGGCCGCGAACCTTGGGGGGGGGGGGGGGGGGGGGGGGCTGCTCTCGGTTTTGAACCAACCAGAAGCCGAGTCATCCAAGCAACAGCAGCAAGGAAGGGACTGTGGACAGACATCCCCCTCCCCCTTGAGAGACTTTAGCGATAACCCGGAGCGTCAAGATTTTGATCATAACCGCATGCTCCTGAGTAAGGCCGCCGCTTCTAGGGTGTCGCCAACGTGTCGCCGAGAAGCTTGGTGTTTGCGTGTCGTTTTCTTATTTTGGAAGCGAGCTTTGTGAAACTACTGCGTGCGTCGTAAAAGAGCCTGGGTACGCAGCTACGGCGCGGAGCCTTCAGGCACTAGGCTAGGGAGTATCACGTGGTCCATACAGAGTTGGTCCTTACAACCTAAAAAGTAGGTGGTCACGCTTACTTCTTCAGCAAAAAATGCAGCCATGTCGCCTATGTCCGCCCTTGTACGCAGTAACGTTCCACCGCTATTCCTCAGAGCATAACTGAATGCAGGAACAGCGCAACCTAGAAGTAGTTACTTGGTAACTACGGAAGCGAAAAAAACAAGGACAGAAAAGAAGTTATGAAGCGTGGAAGCTTGGGCAAGTTGGTAGGACATAACTGAATGCAGGAACAGCGCAACCTAGAAGTAGTTACTTCGTAACTACGGAAGCGAAGTAGTTACGAAGTAACTACTTCTAGGTTGCGCTGTTCCGGCATTCAGTTATGTCCTACCAACTTGCCCAAGCTACCCCGCTTCATATCCTCAGAGCAACGGTTGCTCCCCCGCCAAACACAAGGTGGCTCACACGAGGTCTGCGAAGCAAACGATATAATCGAAAGTACCGATGATAAGCGTTGGCAGCATTTTGTCTTGGGAAGTGCAAACCTGTGTGGCATTGCGTTAGGAGAGAAGGGGGGTGGGTGGCATAACTTTGTCAACGACGGTGCTACCTATACTGCATCGATTTTCAACTGGGCGGGTTGGGGGACGGCGAAATTTTATCGCTGCGCCTTCCCTACCTATAACGTGATGCATGGTGCTGGCAATGCACCCGTCCTCCCGGAGTCGCAGCGTCTCCCGGCCGCTTATGTCAATGTATAGGGCTGATTTCGCCCCCCCCCCCCCCCCCCACTTGCTAATAGAGATGGCCACCTGTCCTGCCCCACCCCTCCTCCATGCGCACGCCTATGGGGAGTCCGCGTTATCGGTAATCACCTTTAGCCCCGAGAAATTGGAGGCCTTAAAGCTTTAGGAGGCCTGAGGGACCTCACGGCAAGGACTCTTCGACGCCCGCCGTTGCGTGCCTACATTAGTCGCGCCTGCTTAGAACGCTGTTCTGTTCTTTGCATTCGCTTCTTGATCGTCTCAAGCAACAGAAGAACGACGAAAACAGCATCGATAATGTTCTTGTTAAAACAATAAAAAATGAAGTTTACTTTTGCTTCTGCAACACGCTCGGTTGTACGAAAATGGAAATCAGGTTCGCGTCACGCTGCAGAATCATGTTTCATTCCCGGCAGCCAACGGTGGGCGGAACATAGATGCAGCAAAATTATTACCGCATGATCACGTTGTGGTTTCTACCCGCAAGATATGAGGCTGTCACTCTCACTGGGGTCAATTGTACCGCACACATAAGCGTGTCTGCGGACAGCGTTTTTGCCGGAGTGCTAAGCACCGCACACGCGTTCACTACGAGTCTCGCAAAATATTTCGAATGCTCTCACCCGAGAATGTCCCCGCAGCAGTTGTGTCAGTTTCTTAGCAAACTTGCTCGGCCAGCTTGTTCTTTATTTTCATGTTTTTTTCCTCGCGACAATTACGGTGCTTTTGTTCACCAAAATGACGTTAGGTGTGGTTGTGGTTAAGCGTGGAAGTTCTCATTGATCTTGAATTGCGTCATTGTGCAGCATTGTATATAGCTGCTTTACACTTGTATAAGTAACACCTTTGATAGCCACCTCGTAAATTGGTTTAATGTCGTTACCCTTGAGCATCAACCGGTAGGTCGACATGACTTGCGAGACCAGTCATCGCCTCAGTGAGGTGAAAGATAATCATTATGCTGGCGACGTCACAAGCTGCGTGTGCCATCGAAACAGTTCATTTCGATCATGGCGTTTGTTTCGAAAACCTTCATATCTACAGTGCTCACACCAGAAGTTTGCTTACCGTTTGGGACACGGTAGTAGATTGAACCAGTATTTCACGTAAGTTAGAGTTTACGACTTGATAATACCTCGTGAATGTCGAGAAGAAATCTGTGCCTATGTTCCGAGTAAATGGGCATTTCAGCATATCCGAAACCCTGGCGTGCGCGGCTGTATTATTTTGTTTTATTTCCGAATATCTGTTTATGACAAAGTAATTCATTCCAAGTCTACCGTGTAGAAAGTTCCATTCTGACAAATCAACTAGATGACAAATCAACTCAATGAGCTGAAACATGCCGATTTTTTTTATCCAACCCGTGTTTTCAACCTGAAGTCTAAGCCCACTCGTATGCAACCGCTTACCATAATTTTATAGCGGTAATGTTTTGTAGTATGCAGAGAAATTTTCATAGCACTAGTTTATTGGAGTACGCAGTGAAAAAAACAAAAGAAACGTCTTGCTTTTCTGCGTCACTATTTTCACTGTGAATCTCCTATTCGGACGGGAGTTTGCTTATAATCGGCTATATTATCGAATCTTTCTACAGTTTATTAACTTTCACTAGTTACGGAACCTTCAACCTGGAATCTTGAAATAGTTGCATCGCGAAATCTAGGCGTAATAACCTCCGAATCGCTGAAGAGTGGGCACACAACGGGCGCACAAAAGGGCGAAAAGCGACGGTGGAGCAGGCGAGTCCTTGCCGTGACGTCACGCCGCTACGATGGCGGTGACGCCAGTGTTCGTTCTCGGGGCCAATAGGTCGGCGAACTCACTCGTGAACCGACTCACTCGTAATCACTCAGACCGAGCTGTGAGTCGGAGTCTGAGTTAGTCCGGATGAATAATAGTTTAGTGAGTTTGAGTCCGGGTCAGTCCGGTTGAAGAACATTTTCGTGAAAGTCAGTCCGGGTCAGTCCAGCTCGAGGAAACATTGGTGAGTCTGAGTCCTTGCGATTCCGAAGGGCAACACATATTTATGTAGAGCTACACTTACCTTCTCGTTCACCTTACTACCAATCCATATGTAAATAAACAGCAGCACGCAAACCTGGGGCGCCATTCTCAACGTACCCGCTTAGCGGACATATCCACTTCGGTGAAATGCATTCGTTTACTAAAAAAAAAAAAAAGTGGCGAGCCGTGACGTCAAGGTGCTTTTGGCCAAGTCGATGCACCGAACCCGCCAGCGAATTCCCAGCGTCAAGAAAAAGTGGACTTAATCTACGGTAACAAGACACCTAAACAAACTTTACCAGTCTGACCTTAAGTATGAGCTTGTTGAGATATAGGAGCACGATGTAGCGAATGTGTACCGACCTTCCAAGTGTTTCAGGTGAGCGGCCGCGTTAGGCCTAAGTCAAGGGCTAACGGGATTAGAGTTCATTCAGGGCCTCCGAGATGTGCGTCCCATGGCGGACCACTTGGGGTCACAATTCATTCAGGTGAAAGGCATTTCCTCCCTCTTACTTCCGTTGAGCCCCGCCACGGTGGTCTAGTGGTTAAGGTACTCGGCTGCCGACCCGCAGGTCGCGGGTTCGAATACAGGCTGCGGCGGCTGCATTTCCGATGGAGGCGGAAATGTTGTAGGCCCGTGTGCTCAGATTTGGGTGCACGGGAAAGAACCCCAGTTGGTCTAAATTTCCGGAGCCCTCCACTACGGCGTTTCTCATAATCATATGGTGGTTTTGGGACGTTAAACCCCACAAAGCAACCAATCACTTCCGTTGAGAGTTGTGAAACTTTCGTGACGTTAAAATGACGTTCTGGATAGAAGGACCGGCCACAGGAGGCGTGCTGCTCACCGAGCTCAAGCCATTCTGTGGAGCATTGTCCTCCGTAGGGTGGGTACATAGCGAATACCTCCACATGTGGTGCAGGCGTTTACTGAAATACGAAACGTTTCACTAGGCCAATGCGACAGCAGTCGCATTGAAAAGAACCAGAGTACATGTTCGATACACAGGGAGACCATAGTTGTCGCTCCACATTTTTTTAAAATGTTTTACGAAAAGTTACTGGATGCAACGTTCACTACCCACATGAAAACCTTACTATAATTTGCTTTAAATGTGCATCAGGGCTATTACAAGTTGTCAAAGACAACCTTGAGAGACAACCAGGAGCCAACATATATCAAAACAGCGCCTAAGTTCCCAGCCTTCCTGACCGTCTGAACGAACTCGCTCATAGTATGTGCCCCCACTCCAGTAAAAATTAAAAAAAAATCTGAGGTCATTACTGCGCACTGCCAAATATACTGACACCAGCCCTACCCAGTCAACATATTTCACACGTATGCTGCATAGGCAAACGTGTCCTTTATCTAACAGGCTCAAGTTGCAGTGAAGGGACAGCTGCCGAGTGTGAAGCTCAGATATGAATCGGCGTCCATTCGCGCAATTCTCATCTATGCACACAGAGCAGTAGCCGGGCTCCCTGCGTCTCAACAAATCCTCGTCTTCTCGTATATACGGACTAAGCTCATGAACGCCCTTAATAAGTCAGATAACGGCGGTCCTCCTTATCTCAAGCAGAAGCGTGCGATGCTATTTAATATCGCGCTCCCCTTGCAGGCCGTCGCCTTCTATCTGCCGGTCTCGCCTTTCGCTCATCGCCCCTGACCGGCTCCCGAATCCATGGTACGGCGACTTCGCGTGCTTCAGCCCCTGGTTTAGTGGCACCTTATAACCTGCGTCGATGGACGCCTCCATATAAACATTGTTCGTATCAATTTTTCTTTGGTTGCCCCAAATATTTATTATTTTCTCTATTTCTTCTTTCGCACTTTAATCCGTAAGCCTATAAGGTCAAAGGGAAGTGGTTTACAGGTGCTGTACAAGGCGCCCATTTCTAGCAACACATTTTCTTCACGATCGCATTGGTGGCTCTGGCATTATCGTTTGCGGTACACTCACGCTGTAGCTGGTCTGTTTTTATTTACCGGACTACAATCAAGTATACAAGTTATATGAAAATAAGATGTTGCTTGCCGAACAATGTGGGATGAAAACATGTAACTCCATAAAAGGGCTTTAGCCTTTCCTGTGATGTTCGGGCTGTTTAAAGACCACTGAAGTACTAGAACATATTCATCATCTGTTTAAAATGCACCGATTGATGAAGAATTTGATTATAGCCCTTCGCAGCGTGGCTCTTAAAGTAATTGAAAGTCTCAGCATTTCTGTCCTAATGTACGTAGGGGCAGTCTTCGATGTCAGGAACAGAGTCGTCGTCGAGCAGTTGTTACCGAAGTGAGTGATAGCCGCGGTATAGTAGCCCAGTCGCACAAGTGTGGCGCTGTAGTTCAGTTTAGATTCCCGGCAACTGCAGCCGCGACTTCGATGCAGGCATGTATGTCTGCACATATTAAGAGAGAGAGTACGGGAAAGACACGTAGGTTAACTAGACTTTCAAGTATGCTAGCCCACACGCGGGGAGTAAGATCAGAGGGTGAGAGAGAGAACATACACTTGCCGCACGCCCTATTCCTCAAGTCTCGACAACGAGCCTGTGGGTAGAGGCGCCTGAACGCACTGGCGCCTAACCAATTACGAAGAGGCAAATAAGTGACGTATGCAGAGGGGCAGAGGTGCGGGAGGAATCGAGAAGGGAACTAGAGAGCGAGAAAGGGTTCATCAAAGCAGAGTTAAAAAGAAAACGGCCTTGAGGTATCGTGTGAACGCGGGGATCTCTTTTTCCCGAGAAGTGGAGGCTGCGGTGGGGTAAATAAACGAGACCCCTTAGGAGGTCTGGAAGGAAAAAAAAAAAAAGAAGACAATGAAAAAAAAATGCCCTGGAGGGCAAAGCATGTGGCGAGACGCTCGTGTCCGCTTCGGTTTCAGCACGGCCGCCGCGTCGAGCCGGACGGGCCACGCGAGGTCAAGCTTGGCGCCGTGTGCGTGGCAGTCGCGTGACCGGGCGCATAACACGTTGGTGTTGCCAACTAAAATTTAAAAAAAAAAAGACGCGTAGAGTGAGAGACAGAGAAAGAGCAATTTGCGGGGTCTTTCGTCAACTGCTCGCAAGGCGTAAACATATTTGGGGAGACACTCGAGAAGCGGCAGCAGCGACATGCGCGTGCTATGTCATGTTGACAAGTGATGAGGAAGGATGAGTAGGGGCTCGCTACAGGTCCACCTGTCCCACAGGGCGGCACTGGTAACGGAGCGTTTTTTTTTTTTGTAAGGGTTGTGGGGAGTTTCCCGCCGTACGGCCTCATTGCGATCGCTATGCGCTGGAGGCTGCATACGGGTGATACAGCCATTAGAACTTCATTTGAGATAATTGTACGTGTCTTCACATTGAGATGAAAGGCGCAGTCGCAGCATATACAGTCAATTTAACTTCCGTGGAGAGAAGATAGAATAACAACACTGTAGACATAAGTGTAACGACAACCGCGGTAGTACGTGGGTTGGACTCTCGGGCACCGTGGCCACATTTTGATTCGGTCAACATGCAAAGATCATCCCTGCACTTTAATTTGCGTTCACACTGAGGAATCCAGGGTAACCAAGATAAATAGAAAATTGGTTGTCGATTCCTTTAAACCATTACATGTCACCCATCACTCGTAACATCCAAGCTGCGTCGTTTCGTCAGTGACGCATATTCTCTTATTGCTCAAAGACTCGGAGCGCAGTACAGTCTGAAAAAAGAAAACTGAAAATGCTCGGTTGGTTGGAGTACCATGCACAAGCCTGTGATGTGCATAGTACTCCTGAAGGCATGTCGAGATCGATGCGCGCACGAGCAAGCACTACGCTCTTTACCAACACTAAAGAAAAAAGTAAGGGACCCTGACCCTGACCCTTGACTTAAATGTCTGGTACATCGGCGTTATTGTGCTTTATTGTATTCTTGTGTTAACTTGTGTTTCCTTGCTCTCTCGAAGTGGATCTCAGAAACATGGCCTGTCTCGGGGTATTCTTACACCTATTCTTTCAATCAACTAATTCGGTAATGAAGCCAGTGGGCACGGGGCTCGAGCGAGAGAAAAGAGGAAGACGATGGCCTGGGATCGGTCACCATGCTTCGAGTTGGCTCTTGCTGTAAATAAACCAGTGCTTTGTCGGGTGAGCTTCCGCTCCCAAAACATCCCCTTTGGAATTCAATTAATTTTCGTTCACTATACTGACGACTGATTAACCCTTATCTTAAGTAAACCTTTACTCCGGTATAGTATGTATCCAATATAACTTTTTACCAGTACCATATATATCGTACTAGTTAGAATGTTTAGATTACATTATCGAATGTTCGGAGGGGGGGGGGGGGGTCCATTTGTATGCATGCATTTATAAGTTGGTGTCGGCGTTAAAGTCGGCGGGAGTGAGTACAAATCCAGTTCAAATGCTTCATCGGCTGTGTCCTTCGTGCTTTAAGAGTTTAATTTTTTTTTAGTTCACACGGCGTACTATTTCAGATGCGTTTACACTGCGTTCAGGACGCCATGAAAACGATTTTTGTGTTTCTGGCGCCCTCATGCATAGCTCTAGTTGGGAATAGGCTGTCAAATTAGGCAGTAATTATTTATCACGCTTGTGTTTATTCTATCTTTCTATTAGTTATTTCCTGTACAAGTGTACAAGCCGTGTTTAAGAAGAAGCGTGAACAGTTGCGCTCTTTTGTGCATATATTTGTGCGGAACGTTCGTATGGGAGGGGAAGAAGAGAGCAAAATGGTTCAGGGAACGAACCGGGGTTAAGGATATCAATGTTCAAATCAAGAAGTAGAAAGCGACATGGGCCGTGCACGTAGGTAGGATGACCACTGGTCATTATGGTTACCGGTCTGGATTCTCAGAACAGGCAAAAACACGAAGGGGGAGAGAAAGTTAGGTGGGCCGACGAGAATAAAACGTCCCCAGGTATAACATGGCAACAGAAAGCACAAGAACGTGTCGATCAGTGGATCATGGGAGAAAGCTTTGCCCTGCAGTGGGCGTAGTCAGGTTGGAGATGATTGTGCCAAACGGAGGCTGAGGATCGTGAGTGCGTTAATGACGATATCATTTCGTGTGCTCTCTGCTCTCCCGCAGATAAACCGTCCACAGAACATGAAGAAGGACAGTATCCAGACCAGAAAGCGCAAGCCTAAGAACGCTGCGGCTGGTAGTGCAGCTGCGGCAGGTGTGGGTGGACCCGTCGTCAAGGTTGAAACGGCTGCAGCAGCCGCCGTTGCCGCGGCCTTCGCTGTGCAAGGTGGTGTCTTGCTGTCCACGGGCTCGGCCGACCAGGCGTCAACGTTGCAGCAGCCGCAGCAAGCTCACCAGGAGCAGGGCGGCGCGCACCACCAGCAGCAGCAGGCTCAGCTTCTGGGATCATCGCGAGTTCCCGAAACTGCCACAGGTAAGCATCTAGCGCGCGTATTGCATTTCCATGTGAAAAAAAAAATATTAGGAGAGAGTGTGGCACGATACAGTTAAAACCAAAGAGAGAGTTATGCATCTGACGACGTGATCGCCATGTAGAAAGCGAGTTCGACTGCCGACTAAGGCGATGAAATGCAAAAGTTTGATATAGGTGCAACCCTTGTTGATCAACATTGGTCCTGGTTTTCAAACTATATGGCGCACTTTACGATCTCATCATGCGTTTGACAGACAGATCCCAAGAGTGCAAATTTTCTTTCACGGACAAGCTGTTCTTAGTAGACTCTTCACCGTCTGTTGGTGTTCTTCTGACTCTGTCCACGAAGTCTCGAAGTGATGTCTAGCCAAAGCAGGGGTGCTGCATGAGTGCTTGGGAGGCTCGCCTCGTGCGACAAAGTTAATGCTCAGTGGAAAATGCATCAAGGCGTAGCGATCTTCTAGGAGTAGGCTTAGGGAGCGGTAGTGTAAAGGCGAGTGTGGGCTCTTCGTGGCGAACGCGTTTCCGCTATGGTCAGGGCTACTCGCACTCCTCACCCCAAGATTTACACAGTGTCACATAAAGAGCAATGATACAAGACAGAAGTAATTAGAATAACACTTGCAAAACATAAAAATGCTTGGGAAGAATTGCATGAGATAGAGAAATAAATAAAAGGACGAAACAAGGGGGTTAACCTATAGAACTGGTTTGCCACCCTGTACACGGGTGGGGAATTTAGAGCCAGGAAGAGGATAGAGATAGGGAGATATAAGATAAGTTATAAAAAAATTCACATGCACACACATGCAGGGCGTTCCGATTACAGTGGTATGGACAGGCTGGTCAAACGCAAGAAGCGCAGGAGCGCACAGCCTTCTTCTGCTATGTAAAGTCCTGTCCGTAGCGCAGGATTCTTCCTTCCAACAGAGTCTGGTTGTCCAGTTCGTCTACTGCATTGCAGAGCAGATTGTGAGCATTTACACAGAATGTGCAAAAACTTGCAAAAAATATACAAAGGCAATAGCCTGATGGGGGGGGGGGGAGGTATGGGCTTCGCTTCTTAATGGCTTTCATGGGAGGGGGTGGGTGCTGGTTGCATTTTATGAACTTTCATGCACTGTTGGAAACTACAGTTGAGTAAACATTCTTATTCACTATACGACCCCTCAGAGACCACTAGTTGTAAAGTTCATGGGCCAGTGCTGCGCGTAAAGAATGCGAAGTGAATTCGTGAAAAGCCTGCCTATTAAGGCTGCAGCTGTGTAACTTGACTTAATTTTACTACCCAGCTTATATTTCTATTCATCATTTTGGCTCATAAATGGCTCAAATCTAAATCCCCATTACGGTACCCTGGAAGCAGCGAACGTGAATCTTGACGGCTATGTCTTTAGAGATTACGAACGCCAGAAGGGAGTGTTAGAGTCGGAAACACATTGTGGCCACCGTATGTCTTGGGTTACATTTGCCGATAAGCGCGCAAATATAGGACAATTCAGCTTGTCGGCCACGGCGGATGAATTTCTAAAAAGACCCGCAACGGTGGTTTAGTGGCTAAGGCACGAGGCTGCTGACCCGCAGTTTGCGGGATCGAAGACCGGCCACGGTGGCCGCATTTTCGATTGAGACAAATATGCTTGAAGTCCGTGTGCTTGCATTTAGGGGAATGTTAAAGAATCATGACTGGCTTGAATTTACGGAACTCTCCACTACGATGTCTCTCACAATCAGATCGTGGTTTTGGAATGTTAAACCCGCACAATTCTTACTAGAATTTCGAAAAGGATGGCATGCATTGAGGGCTGGTTGATAGCAAGGTGTTCGACCCTATCAAATAACTGTTATTGGTGGACAACGTCCTAGAGTCCTACCTCGCAGAAGAACGTAAGAAAGCAGCAATAGTTGCTAGGACTTGTAAAACTCGCAGAGCATTCAGTAACATTTTGTGTAATGTCAGACCATACCAATTTTGGGAAGTTTATTACAGCTTTGCCACAAAGGTGAAGCAATGAACGTAATAGTAATGAATCGAAAGGTCACGCGCAGAATGGCAAGCAGATCGAAACGTGCCCTGTGTTTCTCACGCATAAATAAGGCACGAAACGTACTCACAAGTAGAGTTAAACGCGAATAGGCGTCTAAGTTGTTACTTTGCTGTGTCTGAAAAGCGCTCCCTTTTTGCAAAGGTAGACTGTGTAACAATGGCACTGACCTTTGTGTACACGGTAACTACAACAGAACCGTTCCGGTGAGAGCCCAAGGCATGCTAGTGTCTCCCCACGAGAGAAGCAAGCGCATGCGTGAGCGGCCACCCTGCTTTCTCTCCGTAAGGCAAAGCACACGTGGGAGATGGGAGCATGCGTCGCCGTGTCGTTACAGTGTGGCGACACACGCTCATTGCACCATCTCACTGGTAATGCTGAAAACACGATAGTTCCCCCCAAAATGCTTATCACCAGTGGTAAGTGGTAAATATAAATAGCTTGGCGTTTGTACATTGAAGGAGGTGCTCATTCGTGGCTCAGTGTCTAATGCCTCGCACTCATAATTCAGCAGTCTGACGTTCGATTCCACGCACTGGAGTCTTTTTCTAGATTAATTTTTTTCTTTCTTGCATTTTCATATATACAGATACCTATGCATGTGCGATGAACTACGGCGACGCCGACAGCAAAATCCAACCAGGAGTGTCTACATAATTGCTATTGCAATAAAAGTAAATCATTGTTAGTGTTTAACGTTCCAAAACCACCATAAGATGTAAAAAAAAAAGTATGACACAAAAAAATGACTGATGTGACAAATACACAAGTTTCCAATGGGGTCCTCATGCTGGCAGACATATCTTGGTGATGATAACGTTAAATGTCAACATAGGATGCTCCATACAATACGTTAATCATCACACAGAATAGGTTCAGCATTTCAAATTCTGCCAAGTACTTCTTAGGGTACTTTTGTTGTTTTGAATGCATAAGGTTAGCATCTGACCAAAGTGTTATGTAATATCACATATGAAATAGATGAATGAGTTCGTATTTGTGAAAGGCTCACTGTAAGTGAAATTTATGCGAGTTCGATATAGAGGATAATATTACTCTCGAAATAGTATAGCACCAGAGAAAAATCCATATCATGACCACTGATAGCATCATGCTGTAGATATTTTAGTACATGTGCTGATAGCGAGCAGGTCGGCTTGTGTTGAGGGCACACATTCTGTGAGACATGCTGACATTCTGTGAAATGCTGTATTTTTCCAGGCATCGTTAATCTTTGCCTGTATTGCCGATTCCTGAGTGGCAGCATACTGAAATTTGTGCAAGATGCTTTTGTATAACGTGTGATTGAGAACTCATTTCCTGCTTTTGCAGGGGATATGAACAGCCTGGCAGGCAAAAATTCTGCGCTGCCTCACATCAACCTGACCTTGCCATTCTTCAGTCAAGCTGGGCTGACTTCCGTGGCAACCACTAGTCATACCACTAACGCTGGCCTTGCGACTGTTGCCCGTGTGCCTGGAGTCATGACACTGTCATCCCTCATGGCCTACAGTGCTGCTGGGGGAGTTCTGCGGCCACAGACCAACGGCCACTATGCCCCTACCACGCTCGGGACCCTGGATCCTGTGGCCGAGGCCCAGTCTGCCGAGCAGAGGGCGTCAAATCTAATGAGCCTTACATCATGAAGCAGGGATAGCGTCATTCGATTGATGTTGCTTGTCCAAAGCTGCTTATAATGTACATGTGCACCGAACTTGATGCAACACATTTTCTGCATAACACTTACCTTTTCACACATTCAGTGCAACACGACAGGTACTTTCTGCGCATGTGTCGCTGTAACGATGCTGCCATTATATGTGACCACGAAGTGCGTCCCTGACCCAGTGTTGCGGCATCGTAGTATAACTGTTCTGAATGCTAATATAATTACTTTGCAAAAATGTGTTTCATCAATTTCTGCTGCCCTAGTACGTCAACCAGCAGACACTGTATAATTTCTACATGAAGGGTGCCCACTCAGCTCATTAATAACATCGGCTTATCATGCCTGAGAAGCAGTGCTACCAAAAACGGTGCATTTTCACAAACTTGTAGCCGAGTGATCATTTCTTCCTCGCATCCAATCATCTTGAGCTGCCTACACATTCGCATATAAATGGAGGGGTGACTGTTGAATCCTAAATCTATCGTCTTCTGTGCAAAAAGAAAGTCAGAACTTATAATTTGCTGTCTAGTTAGTCAACTTCATGATGCATGTCATATTGAATGGGGTGTGCTGCATTGACTCAGTCTGCAGAAGCGATAGAATGCTATAAACATTTTTGGGGCAAGTTTATTTCTCATAAACAAAGAGGGACACATTGGGCTGAGTCATTCATATTTGGGACGTAAATAATTGCCAGTAACTATCTTGCGCTGCTTGACCTTCCCATAGATTTTCTCTACTGCACTTGCATGCCTACGATAATTCATTGATGAGGGGCCTTAATTATTTGGGAGCATTCTCTGCTTCACAGCATGAGCCTTTTTCCTTGGTTGCAAAGGTGGGCTGAATTTCTGATAGTACAAACTTCATGTTCCACATAAATTGTGCCAAAGGTGAGTTCAATACTGTGATCTAATAATGAATGATGGTAAAAGTAAAATATAATATTCATAACACTTTAGGCTTAGATGAGCATGTTGAAAATGCTGCTGCTGGGAAGAACAGAGCCTCAGAATACAACGTTTGACATATTTTTTTATAATGTGGGCTACTACAATATTGCAAAGAATCTGCTTTTTACAGCCCTTTGCTCCTTGGACTTGCTTCAGTGTTCTGCAGGTACCTATGGGGCTATAAAAAGCATGACCTCTGAATCTGCACACATGGTAAATAAATCATCATTGATTAAATATAGGCAGTCACACCATCATGTCTGTAGTTTTGGAAAAGCATATTAGTCCTATTACAGGGTATTCACCTGGTAACAGGGTTTCACACGAAGCTTCTGCCAACTAGTGCCTTTTTGTTGCATTGATGGGGCTGTTCCCTTCGATGTTGCTTCTTTTCTGCTATGCAGAGGGGTAGCATATCTGAATGAAAGTTCACTGGGTCACAACAGTGCAATAATTTACTGTGACATTTTCTTGTATGCCATACTCATGCCATGTATTTGTAAGTAGTTTTGATATGTGCCTTATATTGTACCTTGTATAATTCAATCTGCCAATCAAAACCATTCTTGACAGCATGGCCATGTAGACTGCTTGTTCAAGTTCTATGTCTGCCCATACACTTCACTGTACAGTTGATCATGAAAATCTGCGATCACAGCCAGCGTTCTCCGAACTAGGGTCATTGTGTCTAATGTTAATTGCCCGATCTTCATATCCAACAATGCTTCTTTACCTGACACACTTACATGGAGAGTGAAATTTTTGGGGACCAACAAGTTTTCATTTCAACTATTTTTATTAAGCACGACTTTTTCCTGTACTTTGCTAAATTGAGCGAGTTTACTGTACAGATGAAACAGCTGCTATCTGAGGAAACTTGGAACTGTTGCGTTCAGTATGAGTTGCAACTTGCGAGCCATGATGGAACCATACATCCGACAAACTAAGTTTCAGACGGCTTTGACATTAAAGCACAACCCCCTACGTTGTGATGTCGCTTATCAAGCTGGCCCATAATGCACCCTTAGCAAAAAAAAAAAGCTTCATGGCAAAACATGTTACATTAAGAGCCAAGATAGTCCCTGCGGCTAGGTGGGCCAGTTTTTGACCATTTCAGTAATGGAGCATGAGAAATGATAGATTGCTTTTCACTATCTTTTTCAGGGCAGTGGCTCGTGTATTGCATCTCACCATGAACATCAAACAGTTTGTGGTTTAACAAAATACTGCACTAACTGCTTATGGTCAGTGATAACTTAATTTTTTGACAATTATGTCTGGCAGTGTCGGAAAGCAATCTTTCAGTGTTTGCTGTTCTTCCTTGCTATTCCTTGTGGTCTCAGTAACTGGCCACTCCTTGCCACACTGGCTCAGACAAACTTTTCCTGTGAACATTAATGAAATGTTGTTTGCATTAAGTTGGTTAAATATGCTCAGTGCTAAATTTGTTTCAAGCAATTGCTTCTGTGTATTGTTACCACAAGGAACAAATTCTAATTATGTATTGCTTTCTCCACCTTGAGCTTCTTTTTTAAATGCTTCGTACCTATACAGTTGAAGAAGTGTACTTGCGCAAGTAAGGCATTCTAAAGCTTCTGGCTTAGTATAGGCAAGGAGAGTGATATTCACAAGTGCCAATTTTATATTCTACTTTGAGGTACAAACTGCTACGTTTTGCATGGCTGCAGTAGTCCAGGCACTGTTGCGCGTTTATGAGGTGTTGCCTTGCCCTACGGCATTCTGATGTTGCCTTGCCCTACGTCATTCTGATGGTGCCTTGCCCTACGACATTCTGATGCTGAATGTGTAGTCGCCAGAGGTGTATCATGTCAGTCATGGCACCATCAGTGTAATCACAGTGCAATACTCAAATACCATCTTTTGTGTGGACTACTGGTGCATAGGAAGATTGCTCAATTTACACAAGGCTCATTTATGGCTTTATTGTGTGGAGAAACGTGACTAAGTGAGACTTGGTGCCGTATTAGGCCCTTCTCAGTTTTACAGGTCTTGGGCTGTTCATCTGTGTGTATAGTGAGAGCGTACATTATGTGCTCAATGCTAAATCGTGGGTAGAAGCCAAACTTGCAAGCGTGGCAAGCAGCCTTACACTACACAGTAGAAGAGGTATAATCAATACAGATGCATCTTTCCAGTCTGTAACTGTCACATGTTGTTCTTCGTACTGACTGCCATGTTAATGCGAAGGCTGGTGCAACTCACGCCATAAATTTCTGTAATGTATCTTGTCGCACCGACCTGTGATGAATGTTGTAACGTGGTAAATTGAGCCAGAATTGCATGCTCTTTTTCACCATTGTTTTTTGTATGTTTTTGTGCTGTTTGTAACTGCCATAAGTGCATTGTGATGTTGCGTTATCCTTAGCTAAGTGAGAACTTATTGAAGTGCACCTATCAAAACAAAATAGAGTAATGCAGCCCTCTCCTCAATGCCAATTGACTACAAAGATGCTGCTATTTTGAATATTCAAAATATCATTAAGCAAACACTAGTACATCCCAAAAAATTAATAATTGTTTACGACTGACAACAACAAAAAAGAAACTTCAAGACGAACTTATGATCAACGATGCTATTTCTAATTACAAACCTCATTTGGCAGACATATTACAATGTGTTATGTCTTCCATTACTTACAATTCACCGAGGATGACTTGAGTTACTGTAAGTGCTAATAGTATGCTCGTTCCTGGAGTGCACAGATGCTGCAATCTTTAAACAATCAGAAGATTGCCTGTGGCCCACACATCACTTCTCCAGATTAAGAGCTTGCTTGATACTGAACACTGGTCTGGCATCGAAATTGGGTGAGGAATACTTTGTGGTTTGGAAAGCTCCTTGCAATACTCCTTTTATACCATATTGCTTTTCTGAAAACCACCTTGCAACATTTTTCTGGGAGGTGGGATTCTCTGAAAGTTTGACGCTGTTTGGTGCTGGGAGAGTTCTGTCACTGCTCTGATCTTAGTTTCACTCTAGCTGCAGCTTGATAGACGCCACTAGAGCTTTTTTTTTTATGTTTCCTGACCAAAACTTGCAACAATTCACGCACGCATTCTCACCTCTGACTCTTGCCGTTTGCATGTGCAAACATACTCCGTTGATTGAGAGTGTAAATGGGCACTCGTTTCGCATTCACAGAGAGCAAGTCTTATCTGCAACTGGGTATTGCAGCAATTACATCCATATGACTGTCGTCAGAAGCGTGGTGCCTGCGTGTTGGATTTTTCTAGTTTTCTTCTTTAACAAATGTTGGACAGTTCTTTCCCTTTCTATTTAATATAATACAGATACAAAGCCCTATGGAGAGGGGGCGAACTCAAGCGGTATTACAACATTAGTACCTGTATTCCATTCGTGAGAGTGGATTGGTGGCATCAGTGTGCTTTAGTGTTTGTTTCTATTATTCTAGAATTAGAGTTGTATGGTTCTGTGTGTTTTCCTTTTTATATTTGAGGGACTCACTGTATGCACATTCTTGTGTTTATGTTGCGTATGAATGTGGTTTGGTTGGCTTGCCATCCTCTACAAAAAGATCTCGCTCATTTATGGTATCTTGTACTGAGTTTTTGTCAACAAAAGCTTAAACATCTTCATTGGTGCCTAATGAATGAATGCACGCTGAGTTCTTGGGGCACTGATGTCTAGTGCTCCCGCTGCTCAAGTTGCTGCTGCTGCTGTTTGCTGTTCTTGTATTTGTTCTTGCGTGCAAGCTGTTCATTTTATAATGTTCAAGTTTAATGATTGAACAATTTCGGATTGAGTCAGGGGGCTTTTTCTTTGTTGCTCAAAAGAAACGGGTAATATGTTTTGCAACCTTGTTCGTACCAAAGATTATGTGTGTTCCTGTTCATTAATTACCTGCGGTGCTGTTTCTGTTCTGTTTCGGTTTCATTAAAATTTGACCGAAAGCATGGCGTCCCTTGCTTCATCGTTTCGCATCAATTCACAGTCATCCTACATGAGCGCGCTGCACTGCTACGTCAAGTTCTAGCTCTTAGGCAGTGTTGTCAGAGTGAAATTTCAGTAAATTGAAGTGGCCATTCAAGAACAACTTTTAATTATGAGAATTCATATGACTGGTTGATTACGATGTACATTGCGTTACAAATTTCGGGGCACTTTTGTAGAACGGGTATTGCCCATCACTTTCAAGGTTTCTGGAAGTAACTTCAGCAATTGCAAATTAAAACAATAGTGCAAGGTATGAAGTCATGAGCCTGCAGAACTGCACGGCAGCGGCTCACTCATATTAACTTTATATGCATTTACGATATGGATGCGCACTGGGGAGGGGGGAGGCGAAGCACCTTCTGTCACTTAACGGAGGCGGCCACAGAGGCTGCCCCCTACTTTAACTAGCCTTCACTCCCGCAACCTCCCATGAAAGGGAACCCTGCACACGCTTGTGACCATGATCTCGTAGTACACTCTAAAATAATCGAGTACTTGGGGAGTGTTTCTGCTACACAACAGTAATCGTCATATACTCCGAGTGCTTTCCTGGCGCTATCACCATGGTAATGGTAGTTCGCGGTTGCGAATGCTGCCATAGCACCGTTCTTGACAGGAAAGTTGCCAGCGCCCGTTTTTCAGGAAAGAAAACGCATAGCAAGTCGCATGACGAATATTGTTGTGCAGCATAACTACTCCCCGAATACTGCCATTTTTTCTTAGACTGCACAGAACAGAGGTGCCTGTTACGAGGTGTGCCATTGGCGAAGCCAGGGAAGAAGACTTGTTGCTGGGCTAGCTGGTGTCGGTTCACATTCATAATGTAGCTCAAAAAACGACAAGACTGACACAAAAAATGGCACACCCCAAGCGCTTGTGGTGTGTCGTTCTTTGTGTCCGTCTTGTCGTTTTTGCGCATCAAGGAGAAGATTCGGGGTTAAGCCCCTCCCCCCCCCCCCAAATGATTTAATTCTGTAGTATAGTACATAAATACACACACGTGCGCGCGTACGCACGCATGCACATACACCCACACACATGCGCGCACGTACAAATTCTGTGGGAGCTCCACAAAAGTTTCTGGATACGCTGCTTTTTAGATGGTGGGAAAGGCGGGGACAAGGCCGGGATGAGCCTGCACTCTTTTTTTTTAACTAGGGAGGGGGGGGGCGAAACCTTTGCCTTAGTATCCCACCAGGTATACCCTTTGTTTTAGGCATGCAAGTACCCTCATGGAACCATACCTGCGCAAATGCACATCCCAATTAGGTAATCGACGTGTTTTCTGTGTCTTCCCCACTGCGAACATTTATTTGGTGACACCCGCCAGTCAAGCCGGAAAGGAAATCTACACAAGGCACAAGTTCAGTAAAGGATATAGGCTTGAAGCAGGCCCGTATTCAAGAATAGTTTTTTTTTTTTGTAAGAGGGGGGGGGGGGGGACGGACGCTGCCAACTTGCGGAAGGCACCTATTTTGATTATTTGCTATAAAACACCCTCTGCTATCATAATTTGAGGCGTGGGGGGCTTGGATTTTTAGGGCACACCCCTGGCTGGCTGAGGGCCTGGTTTGAAGTGATCAACCCTTGAACATAAGGTGTCACCAAACCCTAACCATTTGCTCAGAGGCAATGGATAACTGTGTGTGGATAACTGTTCATGTCGTGCAGAAAATTTGACATCGGACAAGAGAAGGGAGGAAGGACGACCACCCGTCTTCGTCTTTCGTCCTGTATAAAGTTCTTGCGATACGAGCACAAATATGTATTACCGCCATTCCCAACTTGACACTCCTGTTCTAGATACTTCGAAGATTTCATGAAAATTGATAAATGCAGGCAGCAAATTGTGTACATGCATCACATTTTCTTAACATCAGAAGTGTTTTTTTTTCACAAGGTAAAATTAAAGAGGCGGCTTGAATGGTAATGTTGCAAAGAAAAATAAACATTCGCACAAAGACTGGTGGCTGGTGCGCCAAAATTGCGGTATGCGGTGCAGTTGTTCACGAGCACGCGCTGATTGCAAGAGTACCAAGCACATTCCGTTTTGCAAAGAGAGATAAAACTTTAGCAAGTTAAAACGCAAAGGTAGCGAAATTACAACCTTCAACAAGTTTAACTCGAACACTCCGCCGCAAGCCTCGACCTACATGCTTCGACTGAAACCAGCGCCGTAACGCACTTGATACGACCTGTTTGCTGCAGCTAGCACTAGATGGAGCGTGAGTCGATTTCACTACTAAACAAGATATGTTTCACTTGTGCTTAATCTGCGGGTCAAAGCATGGGTGAAGTACATTGACTTGACAGATCCGTTTTCACCGCCTTTCGTTCGTGGCTGCGCTCGCACGCACGGCCATGAAATTCGTTGCCCTATGCTGACATTGACAATGGTCCATCGCGTGAGCTCGCACAGCTTTCGAGTGTGAAATCGTCGCGGCCGCTCGACACAATGATATTGGAGAAGTACACCAAACGCACGTTTCTGGCGTTTTAAAAAATTGCTCTGTAAATAACTATGAAATGTGGTGGTGCAGTTAATGTCGTGATTCATTTATTTTCGGCTAGCGCCGATCGGACTGTTCTCACCACTTATCATTCGTCTTGCCGCTGAGTTCATGTTGCTATAAAGATGCAGAGGGTTCAAATCTTGTGTTACCAAGAAAGCTGTTCCCCAACGAATTTAAGCGATTTTCAGCGTTCGACATTCCCGCCCCGACTTGGGCATCGCCATATGGTAGCGTCTGCTAGGGTGTGCCTCGTGAATCAGCCGGCGGCTTAAGCTACCTTCAGGACCTTTTGTTGAAGTTCTTGGCATGCACACTGACTGGCCCAGAATTTCCCTTTTTTTCGTATCTCTCTCTCGTTCTCTCTCCTCTCTCTCTATGTACTTGCTCCCCCCCCCCCCCCCCCCGGAGTTATTACATCCCATTCCGGAAAAATCAGTGCAGTGTTTTGCCAGCGAAGCAGATGAGGAAGAAGAGCAAGGCGATGTAGAAGAGGACAAAGAAAGCAATTGCTGTTTCATAATGATGGCAATTATCTATCTATGACACACGGCCAACCTCGAACGTAGCAGCTCTGCTGTAAAACGGCATGATGATGGAAGAAGACAGTGGCGACAAAATGAAATCTACAGTCGTCGGAGAAATCGAGTTTAGCGCTACCGCACGCCTGCTTTCTGACACAGTCAAGGGATGGCGCTGCTATCGCGCCAGCTGTGCCATAAGCCTGGTTGGCCGTCATAATCACGCTCCCACATTACCACTTGGAATCAATAAATTTTATTCCTCCTCCGACGGGCACGCTTGAAGAACTCGCAGTTTTATCAAATTACTCATATACAGAGTGCCCAAGATGATTCGCTGAAAAATATGCCGACACCCACTATAGCCACCCTACTGTGACGGTGATACCAAGTGCACGTTACTGACTACTGCATGAAGTAAGTGAAACTATTTTTCTGTTCCGATTAATTAGTAAACAGTAAATAACTAACATCTAAAACAAGGAAGCATAAATAGGGTAAAAAATATCAATGGCAAATTTATGCATCGCCTTGATGAACGTCGCTTTGACAGTTTCCAACTTTCTGGCGAACAAAAATATAATCGATAAATTAAATATGATAGTCTTCCATTGATTCTGAACGATGGTATTTTATTTCACTTCAGGAACACGCATCCTGAAGTGAAATAAAATACCGTCAATCACAACAAAAGCATCTGTTCTTTCTTGACAGAATTTGAGCCACCAGGTGGTTCCACTAACACCGCCGCCCAACGGTTACTATATGTGCTACCTTTAGGTGATATGCTCCTTTAAGGTAGCTTATAACCTAAAGGTAGCGCACATAGTAAAAGCCGCCAAACAGTTACTATATGTGCTACCTTTAGGTGATATGCTACCTTAAGGTAGCATATACAGTGCCTCAAGACCGCTCACGCTGCCATCTACGACAACGCGGTATATTGCAAAGCACCCAAAGCAGACGTATATCAGCGTGGTTAAGCGGCTAATCTCGCAGATCTCTCGGCCACACTTTGGGCATATTAACTTCCTAAATGGTTGTTCTCCTCCTGCCTCGTTTTTGCGAAACATTGTCACACAGGGAACCTGTGTGTTTGCTCGTATCCCCTTTAATTTCCACTGATCTGTTGACGTCTTGTGTCACATCGTTTGGTCGTAGCGTATAGTATAGCGTCTATTTTAAAGAGCGGCTATTTTTGACTGCGAAAACGTGCCTTACATTGGGGTAATATTGTGAAAAAATCACCGAAGGCGACAATTCTCATACTGTCGCCTTTTGTACGCGCTGACTGTCTATTGAGCCAAATTGGTAAAGCCACCGTCTACAATTTCCTTCGACGTCACGGTGCTCGATGGGGCTGCTAACCTTCCTGAATAAACGCACAAACGTTGTCAGCGTCGGTTGATGGGGAACTCGAGTATATCAGGTGCGTGTGTGTGTGTGTATGTGTGTGTGTGCGTGTGTGCATGTGTGCGTGTGTGTGCGTGTGTGCGTGGTGTGCGTGTGTGTGTGCGTGTATGCACGTGTGTGTGTGTGCGTGCGCGTGTGTGCGTGTGTGTGCGTGTATGCACGTGTGTGTGTGCGTGTGTGTGTGTGCGCCTTTGTGTGTGCGTGTGTGTGTGCATGTGTGTGCGTGGGTGTGCATGTGTGTGTGCGTGTGTGTGTGCGTGCGTGTGCGTGTGTGCGTGCGTGTATGCATGTGTGTGTGTGTGTGTGTGTGTGTGCGCGTGTGTGTGTGCATGTATGTGTGTGTGCGCGTGTGTGTGTCCGCGTGCGTGTGTGTGTGTGCGTCCGTGTGTCTGCGTGGTGTGTGTGCGTGTGTCCGTGTGTGTGCGCGTGTGGGTGTGTGTGTGCGTGTGTGTGGGTGTGTGTGCGTGTGTGTGTGTGTGTTTGTGTGAGTGTTTTGAACGTGCAATCAGCATGACC